TGTCCATGTTCATTAAAATAAATAAAATCAATTAAAAGCTTTTGAAATTAAATAATATTCTTGTTTTATTGAGTTTTATATGTTACAATTCAGAGATGATTTTCAGGTAGATATCCAACTAAAAAAAAAAAAAAAAATTTTTTTGTTTCCTCAAAGCCTTGTGATTTTAACTAATATAATCACTAATCTTCCCAAAATTGGAATTAGAGTTTTCGTACAATTAGTTATGGGGGGGTGGGTAATACATATGAAAAAAAAATTTTGCCATGACTTTAAAAAAGAAAAACATATTTATAATAAGTTCCATCATTTGTCAATGGTTTCTGAAAGTTTCATTAAAATCCGACAATTATTTTTATTTTTGCAAGATTTTCAAAATTAATGTCTGTCATACAGAAAAAAAATGTGTTAAAATTTTACATGTTATTTTACTAGTTCCGGTGACACAAAGAGAAACAAGGTTTTTTTAAATCAAAATTTAGAATATTCTAAAAAGAAGGAAAAATTTTAAAAAAATAATTAAAAAATACTTTGATCTTTCCTCTCACTAATAACATAAACATTTAGATGCTAAAATTTTGTTTTCGTCAAATTTGGCGTCTTTTTCATCATGCTATGCTCTGTTTTTAGCGATCTCATGAAGGTACCTAAATCCTCACGTAAGCTATCAAAGCGTCATGAATGTCTTTCGTGACTTTGTCAAGTGACGTGAAAGTGACCTGCTTTGTTTTATTTTCAAACTATGTCTTTTCGGCGCAGAAACTAAATTAAACTTGGTTCAAAATATTTTAAATAAACATTATAATTTCTGACTTTCTTAAAATAAGTTTTGAAAAAATTATAATTGATTTTTAAAGAATTTCAAACTAAGATTTTCATTTTTTTTTTGTATAAATTGGAAAAAAATGGCTGACTTGATCGATTATCTGTCAATTTTGCTGACTCAAAAAAAAACAAGATATTTAGCAAAAATTTAAAACGTTCTAGAAACGATTAAAAAATTTAAAAAAATAACATCAAAATACTTTCATCTTTCCTCTTAATAATAACATAAACATTTAGATGATAAAGTTTTGTTTTCAAGTTTGACATCTTTTTCGTCATGCTATACTCTTTTTAGCGATCTCATGAAGGTACCTAAGTTAATAGAAATGAACACGCTACTGCCCCTGTCTCAATGATTGGATTTCTCTGTATCCTTGGAAACAGGAAATTATGAATCTACATGTGCGTTTAAAACTCAGTAAACTTAAAAATAAATTATTCCAAAATTCGCTTGAAGATGAAACAGAACTAATGCTTTTAATTTAATCATATAATTGAATTTGAAGTTTTTAGCTTCAGTTTTTGAAACATGGTTATTACTGTGTAACGAAGAAACCATATTTTAAATCAGTTAATTTATAATATTTATGCTCTGTAAATTTACATTGAGCATTGTTTTGTAAAAATAAAAAAAATATCAATAAGAACACCGGATTATATATCTTACTCTTCTTTCTTTTTTTCTTTATATTATATATATATATATATATATATATATATATATATATATATATATATATATATATATATATATATACAGCAGCAGCCATAATATAAGGAACGGAAACAACAAAGACATAAATATGTGTATTACTTAAAAAGTAATGCATGATTAGCAATGAAATTTTTACCGAATAAAGATTAGGGTGTAATGAATAAATATTATACAAAGTTACAAAAATTTACATAATAGTTTTTTTTTAAATAAAGATTAAATGGAACAAAGGAAATAAGCTACTGGACAAAAGTTAAGGAACGATCTTGTTAATACTTGATTATGAACAAAATATCAACAAAATTTAATATTTGGTAAACATCCCTTTTTTCAATGACTTCTCTGCATCGTCAACCACATGATCTAATTAATTTCTTGCAAAAATCAGCAGTAATTCCTCCCATTCATCTTTCAATAACTCCCATAGGTGATCCTGGTTTTTTCAATTTTCTTTTCTGAGCCCTTTCTCCAATTATCTTCCAAACATTTTCTATTGGATTCAGGTCGGGGCTCTGGGCTAGCCACTTCATTAGGGCGATTCCTTCTTCTTCAAATAAAGCCATAACCTTCTGAGCCTTGTGGCAAGGTGCATTGTTCTGCATGAAAATAGGAGATTCATAAAGATTATGGTGTAATCTTGGTACTACATACTGCTGAAGAAGCCTTTTGTAAATCTCAGCATTGATATTGCCATGTACGCGGATGATAGGGACAACTTCTGCAGATGAAATCATTTCCCACACCATCACACTGTCGCCACCAAACTTAACGGTTTTCTTGACACATTGAGAAGACAGTCTTTCACCTGTTCTACGGCGTACGTAAGTTTTGCCCTCAGAACCAAATATAGTAAACTTGGACTCGTCACTGAAATGAACTGTATCCCATTGTGCGTAAGTCCAAACAAAATGTTCTCTCGCATACTCCAGGCGTGCCCTTTGGTTTCGCATTGAAATGAGAGGCTTCGAAGCTGGAATACGGGCATGCAAATCCTGCATTTTTTAACCTGCGAGTAACCGTTTTCCTTGAGATCTTATTATCTGTCTCTTCATTAAATTTAAGGGCAATTGATGTAGCAGTTTCAAAACGGTTTTTTGTAGATATTCTAACAATTCTTCGATCTTCTCTTTGCGATGTTTTTGGAGGTCTGCCGGTTTTTGGTTTTGCCTCTAACGTTTTATCGGTTTTATACCTGCTAATTAATGAAAAGTCGTAGTCTATAGACTTGGTTCTGTGATACTAGAAAAAGTAAACTTTGGCACTAAAACTCCATCGAAATTGATCATTGCATAGAAAATACCAACGATAACCTGAAAATTTTAAGGATTCTATTTATGACTAGGACATTAAATTTCCGCGTTAGAAACTCTTAACTAAATACACGTGTATATGTCTGTGTGTGTGTGTTTCCTCGCACTTAATTCATTTGAAAACGAATCAGTATGTATTGTACTTCTTTATGATATTGAATTGAAATATTTGTCTTTATAAGAGTAAAAACAAATAAAAATGGGGAAGAACAGACAATATTTTTTCATGGCGAACATCATCAACTTCATCGACCGTAAAATATGCAAAGGAAATAGTAAAAAAAACATGAATATTGTATGAATTGCAAGCCACAGATAGAAGCGTTCAAATTGGGCACACATAAAAACATACAAATATATTTATGTGCGTTTTATAATTACTTAGAAAGACATGTCCTTCAATAAAATACTTAGATATTTTAATATTTTATGTTATTGCATTTATATATACAAGGGGCTACTGAAAAGTCCTCAACTTGACTCACTTTCTAAAATTTGACGAAATGTTAAATATCATAAATATTTTATTTTTAATCTGTTCTTGCTCAGGCTGAGAACTTTCAGCACCCCTTCGAATTATCACTTCATCATTATTTTCATTACGTTTTCCTGAATATCTCAAGTATTCTATATCTCATTATTTCATTATTGTTTTTACAACCGCACATGATTAGATATACCGGAGTTTAACATTTTCCTTTTCAGCAATATATTCATAAGCAGTATCAGAATTTCTCGATGATAAACATTAATAAATATTTTACTTTATGCTTATTATATATTACTTAGATCATTATTAGAGAATAATGCATATTTAACGCTATATTTTATATTTAAAAGTTTGCCATAAAAAACTTTTTTTTATTTTATCGTTAACGTAATTTCTTCCTCAGATCAGATTCTCATGAATGTTGTTGTCAAGTTGTTGCTGTTGTTATTATTATTATTATTATTATTATTATTATTATTATTATTATTATTATTATTATTATTACTACATGTGTCTTTGCTTCCCGTAATTTAATTTTAATATTCGGTGAGTTGGTTTTCAAAAAGTTTTTCAATTTTAGGTATAAGAAATAAAATATAACATTATCTTATTTTGGTTTAAAGTGTTTTCATTCGTTTTCCATTTGGCACTGATGTAAATTTAATACAAAATAAATATATCTTCTACCTGAATTCAATATGAAACAATTAAAATATACCAACCCAATGATGTTGTAAATTGTCATAAAGAATATTCTACCCGTTGAATATACAAATGAGTGTTGAAAAGTTCTCGGTCCGGCACTCTTTCCAAAATTGATATTCTGATGTTTGGCCATTAAAATACTAATTTTTGTAAGTAGGTCACTCTGAGAACTTTTCAGTATCCTCTAATATTTTCCATTTAAAATGTATAATGCATTTTTCTTAACGTATTCATTTAAAAACACTACAAAAACTATGATTATATCGCAATCATGTTTTCTTTTATATAGCTGTTATGTATGTATATGTGTGTATGTGTCAGTGTTCATGTGCACCTGTGAGCGTGTGTGTAAATTTGGAAATATTTTATGCATGTATGTTGATGCATAAACTCAAATGTAAAAAAAAAACAAAAAGAAATGCCACTACGAAATTGAACAAATTTCTGACATCAACAAAATCTGCAATGTCATTTTCCCTATGATAATGGTGCGAAATTTGCACATTTAAAATCTGGCCAAAAAAAATGCAGTTTCATGTTATTTTTCTATATTTGTATGATTGAGATGTGAAATTTGAGGACCGTGATTGAAAACTGTGTTTAATATTTTCTCCTTTAATAAACAAAGGGTATGTCATTGTTTTGTGCTATTCATGCATTTTGTTTAAACTATGTAACATCATTATTAGTAACTCACAAAATTAATAAAGCCTTTTTACTTTCAAGTAAACTTAAGAAAAATAATTTTTTACAGTTACGACATTGCTGTTTATTTGAATGCTTTCATACCTAAAATCTGTAAAATATGAACAGTTCAGTATCTTATATAATGTATAACACTAGAATTTCAAATACCTGTTTTATCTGTCTAATATTTCTTCTTTTTTTTCCAAACTTGGATTCAACTTGGATTCTGGCTGTGAATGAAAATATATCTCGCCTTGCGCTGTACAGGATGCAAGACCTCAAAGATAATAATTTGGTTGACGATAGTGGAACAGCAGCACCTGAAATAATCGAGATCCCTCTTCGAGATCTTTGCACCAATATTGATCTGGACGCCCTTCGAAAACAAAATGAGCCAGTTGATGCAGATGATGATTGGCCAAGCAGCTGGCAGGATGACTGGCTCTTGCCAGATCGCGAGGAAATGACTCCTCTTAATGCTGCAGCGAACAGCTCTCATGAAGAGATCTGTGAAACGAATTGTTCACCTTTGTTAGAGAGTTCTCAAAACGGAACACTAGATTCGCCATGCAGAAACTCATTAGAAGACAACCCACATGGAGAAAATGGAGAAACAACGAAGAGTGTTGGCGAAACGAACATAGCATCAGTCAACATTGATGAATGTCGACTGGTTGATATCGACATCAGTGAGCCGACAACTACACGACAAATGGCTGTTGTGCCGTGTCGCCGGAGATCGAACCCTCGTGTGCATTTCGCTGACGATGGTCGTCTATCGTGTGGTGACCTGACGTCTCTATCAAGTGAAATGCCTAATAATGTGGACGACGGCAAGTACAGTAAGCGGAAGTCTAGCTGGTGTGAGGACCGAAACAACATCCTTGCATCAGTTGGCTCGAAGGACACATCCGTTCTTCCAATGAAAAATAACAAATTTAAGTCACTCATTTGGAAGCGGCCGTCGTTACAAGATCAGCTACTACCATCGATGCAAACAGGTTTCTGTGTAGAAAGTATCACAAAAGAAGAACTTTTGGTGATGTGGAAGACATCGGAGATTGAACTTACACGCCGTTTGGAAAAAGCACTCAAAGAAAAAGCAAAGCTAGAACAGAAACTGGCTGACCTAGAACTCGGCTCACCTGTATGAAATTACTGAAATAAAGAACACGGGATAAAATACAAAGAATGTGTGGAATTAAATGTTACAGCCTATAAGAAGGAATTTGAAACTGAAATTGAAAATGGCTACATACATGTACTTGCATGCACTTACAGAGGTGAGCTTTTTTCTAGTAAGTGCGAAGGTGCAGGGGTGTCCTTTTATATTTCATTAAGATTTATTCTTAAAAAAATCACAGAAATAAAAAGAAAAGAAATATTGTGCATCAAGACTCAATTGTTAGCAAGTAATGAAATCGTTAATAAATAATGTTAAAATAAATTAACGTGACGTTGAATGCTACAAAATTGATGAAAATATATGAATTTAAATATTAAAATGCACCCGTATTTATATGCACCCGTTCTTCGATATTTGCAAAGAAAAAGTGAAATGGTGAAAGTTTCAAATTAGATGTCTTTTCGAGAATCTTTGTGATTTACAAGCTAAAAGATTAACAAAATGCCATCATTTGTTTCTACTGAAAGATGATTTTTTTTATATTGTGACGATAAAATTATTGATATGATAAAATTCATGTCAATGATAGCTATTTGAAAATAATTTTTGTAATCCAAAGCATCTGAATATAAACTGTACGTTTGATACTAAAAATTTGGAAGTACAAATTTTTACATAAATTTAACAGTACTGAATTAAATAATTACCGAAGCAGTTTGAATTGAAAAAGAAGTCTGAATTTTCATGAAATCACATTATGTCACTTCAACAAATGGTGAAGAAAAGTTTATATAATAATAGTAAAGAAAATAGCAATAGGTCTTTTGCATCATAAACAACGTCGCTTGTTGATGGATGTAGTATTTTATGGTATTCCTTATGGAATATTTCTTGATAATTTCCAAATGTACCAAATTATTAATCAATCTGGATCGAGCTATTATTTCCTGGGTGAAATTTCTAATCAGTGAACATATCTATTCAGTGATTAATCAAAGAACATATCGATCAATCAATGCATTTATTTCCACCAACGTAAATGGATACATAATGCATGTACTACAAGGATCACCATTCAAAAATCAAAAGGTGTGGTTTGCTAAATTTTATTTTGTAGACTTTATTTGTACTTTTTTCTTCGTTTAACCAGAATACTTTAAAACAGAAATTGTTATTCTCACATTTCAAGTAAAACAAAAGAGATGTATGAATGGCAAAAATATATTCGGTTTAAAGCAGAAATATGCAGAAACTCAGATGTGATTGGTAAATAGGTGCTGTAAAGGTAGTAGAAAATATAACAATAATATTTAGCTTCTTCTCTCCGTAGATTAAGGTAGCATAAAAAAGAATAGCGAATGTAGGAAGTTTAATAAATTCCAAAATATATCTTCTTTTTTGCTATTTTTCACTTTACTTTTTACTTATAATTTTACATGTATTTAAAAGTAAGTATGAATGCAGATAAATGCAAACAATTGACCAATATGAATTTAAGAACTTTCGCTGAAAACTTGTAAAGAAAAAAGTAAAACATAGACAAAAATATTTGAATACCCTTATATTTGATTATATAAGCAAAATTCCGTTCTCTTCAGCAAAGTTTCTGGTAAACCTAGCAGCAGCTGAATGTTCTTTTAATGCAATTGAAAAGAACTATGTACAGTAAAATATTCCATTAGTAAACACTTACATATCGCTATGTATATGTGTGTATGTATGTGTATATATATATATATATATATATATATATATATATATGTGTGTGTGTGTGTGTGTGTGTGTGTGTGTGTGTGTGTGTGAATATGTTTGTGCACCATTAGGTAGGCGCTAATATATATGTGTGTGTGGGTTGTGTGTGTGTGCGTGTGTGTATAAGAATGTGCATGCGTCTATTTATACAAGCATAAAAACATTACGTTGTCTCTTTTATCATATCCTTTGAAAGGAAGATATACGCACAATGTATATAAATGTAATAGAATACGTCTTCCACACAAGGATTCCTTTCATACTATTGTTATTATGATTTTCATTATGTCTGATCTTTTTCACTTCAAAGCCAGAAACAAATGGCGCATGCAAAAAATAAATAAATAAATAAACTCTTATAAGTGTAATTCTTGCTTGATTTGCCAACTTGTTATATAATATTTAAAATCGTTTTAGTGTCAGATCTTCGTTTACCTGCGCGTGTCTACATTAAAGAATTTTTGGTGGGTGTTGGGGCAATACACTTTGGTTATCAGAGCCGAAGTGGCCATTAGTTTCAAATGGTTATAATATGCTTAATTAAAGAATCGTTACAATCAAAATATTTATAACTTTTGTTTTCGCATTTCTAGGAAGAAGCAAATCACGTATTTAATGTTTTTAAATATGCAAAAATTAAATACTTACATCTAAGTATGCATTAATTTGTCATCATACATGCAAATATATGTGAAACTGGATTTTAAGTTTCATGCAAAGGAGAATGGAGTCATTTTTGCGTAACCAGAAAATTGGCACTGAAAAACCAATATCAAGCTTTCATCATGAAATATATCAAGAGCATTTTAAAATATCTAGTATGGCATTTTTAATAAAGTCGATTTAATAAAAGTCTCCGGTGTTGATCAAATGAAATCTATGAACAATATTACAATAGGAAATTATTTCAAAACATAAGACATGGCTCACATTTTTCTACAGATTCTGAAACACTGAAAAAAAACATGATAAATTAATGCTGTGTTAGTATTACGCGCAAAATGAAACACGTTTCCTTTCTTTCATGATAGTAAAAGTACTGTTTTATATATGGTAACTGAAATCATATATATATATATATATATATATATATATATATATATACATTATTTCACTTACCATATATATGAAGATCAATATGGATCGGAATCTGACAGGATGATAAGATAAAGTTTCCTATTTGTTATTTATCTTAACACACACATATACACACATATACACATATATATATATATATATATATATATATATATATATATATATATATATATAATGAATTCAATTTCAGTTTTTTCACGACGCTTTGATATTAACAGTTATTCGAATAAGAAAGCAACTTTCTCACACTGAGATCAAAATTTATCACTGCAAAAATTAGATAATATTCCAATTTTGTTTAAATAAACGCAAGAGAAATTATTTTATCTTTTTTTTTTTACCTAAATTGAAAGTTAATACTGAGTTGATTTAAGGAAAAGATATCCAGATTATAAATGCTAGATCCTGGGATTGTGAGTATTCTTTTCTATTTATTTTACGTAAACTTTTGGTAATCATTTCTTTTTATCTAAATGACTCATCAATGCAGTATAAATAAAATGTTACGCAGTTATAAAAAATCATTTTAATAAATCCATGACAAAAATATTTGAATACCCTTATATTTGATTATATAAGCAAAATTACGTTCTCTTCACCCAATATTTTTTTACACTTTATTCGCCGATTTTTAAAAGGTCCTAACTGCTAGGAATTATGCAGTCTTCGCCTAATAAAAGTTAATAGAAAAGGAAAAATATCTCAAAAAGAAATGATTAATCTAATTATATTTTATGACAAAACATAATAATGAATAAATAAAATTGATATTCCAAATCTAGAACTGATTTAATAAATTGTATTTTGTTTGTTTTAATTTTATTTTATCAAGTTACAAATATAATAAAAATGATCATCCAACTCGAGGATAGTTCTGATTTTTTTAATCTGTATTAGTAATAATTAGTAACATTTGGCTGCAGATGACAATAATACAGAATAGACTCCAGTATTGTAATCAAAATAACAATATCTCCTAAAACCCCTCATCACATATTTATCCAAGCCTTACTAAATGACTATTGTGTTTTAAAGGGTATTCAGTTATACACAAAAACAAAACACAAACATTTGCTAGAAAAATAGTAAATTTTGTATGTTTTGCATTTCTTATTGAAAATCTTATGATATTTTGTAATTTTTAAAAAATTTCCGAACACTTATAAGCATTTATTTAAACTATAACATTAAACATATAAAATTTCTTTTTAAACAATTTTCACTTGCAAATGAATAAATTTATTATTATAATAATACTAGAACAAAATGTTTAAAACACAACGAGCTGTATGACCACAATTAACGTTATGAAAATCTGTTTATGACAACGCTGCTTTTATTTACAGCAATTCTAATGATTTTCAACTGAACCATGGAGACTTTCAATATATTTTTTAATCTTCTTAACTATCCTCAACTGTTGCTATTTTTCTCCCCGCAGCTTTTCGGTTTGTGCATTGTGTGACATTCAAATAACAAAAAATGGATAGTCCAAAAGGTCATCGAATTAAAACAACTCGTTACTAGATTTCCAAAATACTTGTTTGCATTTTCATTCCTTTCCAATATGAGAAAACTTATAAACTAGAAATAGAGTACCAGTAATAATAATAAGTGACAGTAAAATTTAGTGAAATGTACACACAATGTGTCCATAAAATACATCACTGAAACATGCTAATTGATAATTTTTTGTTGAAAAAAGTTTCTTTGCTTCATTTTTCAATTTTGATCAACTGTTTTTGTGGGAGAACTTTTCAAAAGTTCATCCGTTTATCTACCATAATATTTAACTAATTGCTCATATGTCAAAGTCACAATAATCACATTATGGTTCATACATAAAAGATTTGTAAATTATGGGTAACATACAAACATTTTCAAATACATGTAGATAAATTCATGCGTACATATATTAGTAAATGTCGATATATACATACACATATTTACGCATGTAAGTTAATAGTTTTTGTTTTAATCTGTAAATTATCAAGAAAATTCAATAATGAAAATATTAATTTAGACTTATTCTAATGTTTGTAAATGCGAGGATGTAGAAAAGTTGCAGCAACTGTAGGGGTGCATGAAATATTTCCGGATTCTTTTAATTTACCTCCAATATAAAGATGCCTGACTGTTTATTTGGTAACTGTTCGTCTATCTCGGCGCTATATGTC